CGTTCGATTCTAAGCAAAACTTGCTATACCAAAAACTGCGATTGATCCCCTCAATTTTTAAAAGAAGAATCAGTCTGTTATAATTTTTTCTGAACGAAATTAATTTTTCATTTACAAACCGTTGTGTTTTCTTCATACAATATCCACCTTTTTCTTTTGAAAATTGGGAGGGTCAAACATAATTTTTGGTATATAGTTTGTTCGCCATTTTGGCTTAGGGTCGTAGAATTTTAATTTGCTATACATTTTCTACGAAAATTTTGCTCCTAACAAATTACTCCGCCCTAATGAGCACATATTAAAAAATTTTGAGTTACAATTTACAAATTAAAAAAAGAACGATCGTAGGTATAAATGTAACATTCTTTTTGAGTATTTTTTCCTGGAAAAGGATGCGCCTAGCATAAAAATTGCTGAGCTCCAGCTAAACTTGTTATTCCAAGTTTTATGCAGATTACGTTGTAATTTTTTTAACTTTCAAATATTTGTATTTGTGGGTTTTCGTAGCTTGTGCACCGCCGCTGAAATACAGAGAAATACTTTGCGTTTAATCCAAAATTACTTGAAACCATGGTACAATAAAACAGGTAGACGGCCAATTTGACGTCAAACCTACAAAAGTCAAAGTATTCGGGAGAGTAAAAATAAAAATGAGCGTGTGTAAGGAAAAATAAAACAAGTAAAGGCGCTGGCCCAATGCAGGCTTGCTTTGCGTGCCTTTCTGGCTTTAGTTTGCTTTGATTTAGTTTGAAAACTTGTTTGGCCGAATGGCGGCTTGAAACGCTGTCAAAGTAACCAGCTGTCTGGTTGAAAAGTCAATGTCTGTTCCCTTAACATTAATTATTGTTTTAGAAAAATCTAGAAGATGTATCAAACCTTTTCAGATTTATTTTTAAATTAATCCGAAATAATGTTTGTATTTAAAAGAACTGGTAGTAATGACACATACATATGTATATCTACAGTTACTAAAAAAACTATAACTTAAAAAAACGATTTACTTGAAGAAAAGAGCTATAAGAAGTTTTTTCCTCTCGTGTAAAATTTGTAAAAGTGAGCTTTGCAATTTTTTACTATAATATAACGATATGTTAGATTTGATTTCGAATTGCTTTTTTTAAATTAAGTAAGCAAATTTTTGTTTGAATTTATGTATTTTGAACAGGAACATGCCTCTTTGTCAAAAGCCTACAAAACGCTTTCAAATAAAACATTTGTCTATTTAAAACTTTGAGGCGCTTAAAGCAAGTGAAGAAAAGCTGCCATTTGGCCAGCCTTTATACGTTTTTGTATGTTCCAAATCATTTTTGACACTTCTCGGAGCGACGCAAGCAAAGCAAGCCTGCATTGGGCCAGTACCTTAAGAAAGTCTAAGTTCGGGCGGAGCCGAACATTAAATACCCGGCGCAAGTATTAAATATATGTTTTTTCACCTTTCCTAAACCTTCCGCTGGATGGTAAGCCGAGGTGTATCAATTTTGAGTAAATTAGCGTCCTTCAATTTCGAAATATTGAAGTTTCAAGCATTTCTTAAATTTACCGTTATATGAGAAGCGGCCGTTATTTTAGTCCGATTTCAATAATTTTCACCGTTTTGCTTATATTTGGCAAGCACAATAACCACACCGAGTTTGGTACAAATGGGTAGAACGGTTACCGATATACGTATATGTTACCATAAGTGGGCGGTGCCACGCCCATTTTCCAAAATTTTACCATAAACGTATTTCTTGGTAAAGAATTGTTGCAAGCATCAATTTTGAATAAATTAGCTTCAATATTTACTGATTTATCGAAGATTTTGTATTTCTCTAAATTACCGTTATATGGGATGTGGGCGTGGTTATTGTCCGATTTTAAAAAGTTTCGGCGGTTTTTTGTGCTGTACCAAGGTCAACAACTGTGCCAAGTTTGGAAGAAATTGGTGTAGCGGTTACCAAGATATACACATGTAACCATAAGTGGGCGTGGCTACGCCCATTTTCCAAAAATTTATAATATTCTTATTTTTCGTCTAAAACTTATTATAAATATCAATTTTGAGTGAATAATCTCCAGTAGTTACTAAAATATCGCAGTTTTCGTATTTCTGAAAATTACCGTTATATGGGAAGTAGGCGTGGTTATTGAGCGATTTTAAAAATTTTCGGCCATTTGGTATGTTATGCGAAGGCCAACAACTGTGCCAAGTTTGGAAGAAATTGGTGCAGCGGTTACCAAGTTATACACATGTAACCATAAGTAGGCGTGGCTACGCCCATTTTCCAAAAATGTATAATATTCTTATTTTTCGTCTAAAAATTATTGTAAATATCAATTTTGAGTGAATTATCTTCAGTAGTTACTAAAATATCGCAGTTTTCGTATTTCTGGAAATTACCGTTATATGAGAAGTGGGCGTGGTTACAGTCCGATTTCGCCCATTTTCAATACCAACCTACCTTGGATTAAGGGAGACCTATGTACCAAATTTCGTTGAGATATTTCAATTTTTGCTCGAGTTATCGTGTACACGGACAGACGGACAGACGGACAGACAGACATGGCTTAATCGATTTCTTTTCTCATCCTGATCATTTATGTATACATTTGTCTATATCTACCTCGATTCGTTTTGGCTGTTACAAACAACCGTTATGTGAACAAAATTAATATACCCTTGTGCACAAGTGCGCTCGGGTATAAAAATACATTTCACTGGTTGACGTTTTTAAGTATATTTGAAGTTTATTCTTATTTATTTATTTTCTTTAGTTAAAATTTGATAAAACGTGTATGTTGTTTTCTGTTTTTGTTTTATGAGTTGCAGTGTTGTTGGAGGGACTTTTCGGCATAAGGGTCATAGGAACAGCACTTGGCTTCAAACGTGCCTTTCCTGTACCTCCCGGTGTATTTGTGGAATCTACTTCTTTAAAATGTTTAACGCACAGCATGGCATTTCTCTGCACCTCTGCCCACAGCTGCTATCGCAACGTTCCTTACGCGAAGGACATTGAGGCACGTTAAAAAATTAGTGGTATCTGCCTTATATTTAACACCACATAAAAAACAACGCTTCAGGTGTTGCATTTTTAACACATACACTAAGTATAAACCGCACAACACTACAAAAATTCAAATGCAAATTAAAATTTGTTATTAACGAACATTCAAAAAAAAAAACAACGATATGACATTCAAAGCGTAACGAAATATAGGAAATAAAATAAAATCCAGTTGAAGTTTAAAGGTTTGGTTCTCATGAGAGCAACGTCATTTTGGCTTCTACCTGTATTTATGTGCCTTGACTTGAAACACTTTTGAGGAAATTTTTTTCGAAGAATACGATGACGTTTTTGATTTAATCTAATTTTCACCTTTTTATTCAATGTGTTTTGTTCGCTTTTTTGATACGCCACACGATATTCAATACAAGACGAAATAAGCTTTCAACTACACAATCGCACGATTTTATTAGTATCTTCCATCCAAAACGAATATCCCGCATATATTTATGTTTATCATTCCTTAAGTCTGCTTCTTCTCCTTGCAACTTTTTGCAATTGTTATGAGCGCGTGACATTCATTACTTAACTAAATCATACAGACCTATTGAAATAGCCTCCTTCACTCTCAAAACTTTAGAGAGACTGTTAGACCTTGATATAAGGGAGAAACTTAACACTTTCACTCCCTTATATTACTCATAATTTGCTTATATCTAAGGGAAGTCAACGGATTCGGCCTTATAGTATCTGGTAAGTAGGATCGAAAGTGACTTAGAGACCAAGGAGATCGCTCTGTGGACCTTCTTGGACATCGACGGGGCTTTCGACAATGGTGCCTATAGATTTATATCAAGGCCATTTATCCAAAGAGGCTTAGATCCTACTGCTATTTAGTTACAAATTAATTAAAACATCATAATATACATAGGTATCAATTTGAATGTTTTTTATAAGATCCCTAATTCAAAAATATTTTTAATAGTGTTGCCACCTATTTTGAATCGCAAATAGAGGTAAAATATTAATATTCATGGGTGCCAAGAGAAGGTTCTTAAACAATGCTTTCCCTATATACAAAATTTTATCCCTTAGGATAATAGTGTAACGTTGCCACTTATTTTCGATTCCACACAATTTATGTAAAACATCGCAATATGGATATCAGTTGAAAGGTATTGTTGAGAACTTTGGTCAGAAAATATTTTTCATCAGGGTTACCACGCTTCTATGTAATACAAATTTTTATTTTGTTAATTTCAATCATCAATTTTTTTATGTATATACAGTACACATAACCTCAAAATATGTACCATTCATTCCAGCATGTTTCGGAATAGTGTTACCACCTAACTTTTAGAGTAAGAAATTTACGTAATAGATATCGAAATCCAATTTTTTTATTTTTTATTTCCAAAATATTTTTTTAAAGCTATCTAAATCTTGAAAACTATAAAAAGTATATGCACTCCGGACAAAGCTGAGTCAACTTTATGTATGCACTAAGTAAATGTTTTTGCAATATAAACGAAATTGAAGTTTTTTAATTAAAACCTTCAAAAGAGATATTTGTTTCACAATTTTTATTTATTTTTGCCATTTTTAAGATTTAATTTTTCTGGCAACACTTAATGTACTATGCATGCGTTTGTATGTGCAAGTAAATGTACTATATAAAGCAAGATTTTAAACGTCTTCGTCATTTATTTTTACCACTTGCTATCAACCACTGAATTGATATGAGTAATACTTAAGTATTATTTATTTATTTTCTCTTAGTTTCTTCCTGTGCATTATTTCTTGATATATATTTTTTTATCTATGTATGTACGCACTCATGTACATTTGTATATTTAGATATACATTTGTATGTATGTATATATGTTCGTACTTATGTAGATATGTATATAGATAAGTAAACTACTCGCAGCCTGCTTTGCGCTCTATTGAAGCTGCGATTGTTTACGCTTTTGATTCGCTACATTCAAAACTTTTTTTTCAGTAGAGTCATTTACATCGTGCCATCCGGTTGTCGTTGATTCGGTGATTCGGAGTTCCACCGCGAAATTAAAAAAAAAAGCGCCAGAAAATTAAATATTTCTTGCTCGTATCGTAATGTGATAGTATTTTGTAGACTACTTGTTAACTACTTCAAGGTTGATCGACTGAGCGACGAAGTGTTATTTGTTTGTAGATTTAAGAATTGCCGCCTGAGCTGGCTGAAGTTGAAATTCAAGTGCATGGTGCATGCGTGAATGACAAAAAGCTTAACTGTGTTAACTGAAAATTTTCTACTTTTTTGTGATACATTTCCATTACTTAGCCCCATAGGTAACAGACACACAGCACACGTGTTTTAGAAATGAATATGCAATCAAATCTTGGATTTATAGAAAAGCTGCGATGGCGCTTAAAGTAAGTGAAATTTAATGGTCATAGTCAAGTATTACAAAAAAAAAGATCAAATAAAAATTTAATTCCTTCGATAGAATAGTAGTCTACATATATATTATATGTATATGTTATTATTTTTTCATTTACATTTAAAAAGTTATAAATACGCGTTCCAAAGATCTCATTTAAAGCACGCCGCAGAAATGTACCAAACTTGACCGCGTGTTTTGTGTTTACTGTGTTTTTTTTTTGTCATTTTATGGAGCAAAAACCAGTCTTTTAGTAACTGCTATGCGCTGCTACCTGTATGTATTGTGACCCTAACACAAACACATACATACATACATACATTTGTATGCATTCCATGAAATTACTCAATTAGTTGACCAAATCAGCTGTGATGACTAATACCCAGAGCTAACTGGTTTGTGTGAAAACAAATTTACATATTCAGACAAAAGCGCTGCAAACAATGAAATTGCTTTGTTTATGGCATTATAATTTTTGCACATATTGCGAATTATTTATCTAATAGATTGTTAGCGGTTAGTACAAACTGTTAACCAACAGCAAGCAACAACAACACAAAGCGCTACAAATACCCGCGAAATTTTTAATTGAATTCAAGTGAAATCACTTTTTGTGTTTGTAAAAATTAAGTTTATAATAAATTGAAAAAAAAATTATTAAATAAAAGCAAATTTATGCGAGTATCACACAAAGGCAGTCAAAGGTTTTCGCAGCGAGCATAGTTATAACGTTTCTCTTATGAAAGTTATTTTTGGTATTTATGCGATAAAAATCAAATATCAGCCAACAACTATCGACAAAATTGCATTGTCACTAGCTGTTGTGAAATTTTACTTTCATTAACTCTCTGCTGCTTTAGTATTTAGGCAAAGGAGAGTTTGAGTAGTATTTGGGTTTTTACCTGTTCGCGCATGTGTTTGTGCGTCGTGTTCTTCTTCCCTTTGGCTACTACCTGACCTGAGCTAATTTCACAATCTTTGTAAAGATTAACTAAATTTTCACAGAAATCATTATTCTAAACTAGGGGTATTCTCGAAGTTTTTGCTAAAATTTTTTTGCTCTGCTTTGCATATATGTAGATACATATGTATGTAAATATGAGCTGTGGCTTCTTTGAAGACGATGTGCGATATGAAACCATGAATTTATTATGAAATAACAGACGGAACACCGTTCGGAAAAAAAATTAAAAAAAAAAAAAAAATGAATGCCTTTTTTTATTAAATACGCTTGATATATATAAACAAAAATGCAAAATCGATTACCAAAAAAAATTACTACAGTTTTTTAAAATTTTTTTTTTTGAGTATGCAATTTTGCTGCCCATTAAATTGTAGTAAAAAAATGCAACTTCGTAGTTAATAAAAAATCGCATTAATTTTTGATAATTTTTTGTTGAAAATGTTTTGCATTTTTTCCATATAAAGTATTTTCGAAAAAGCTATGGAAGAGACTGCGTGAAAAAAGTGCCAAAAATCGACAGTAGCTCCTAGCTACTTGAAACTTGTACTTTTGATTGGGCACAAATCTGCATACCAAAAAAAATTCTAAAAAATCTAATTGAAAAGTTGAACATTTTCTAGATTTTCGTAAGTTTTGCAAAAAGTTTAGGAATCATATTTTTATGTTTTTATTTTGTTGTAGAATGAACCATAATTTTATAAAAAATTGGCGGAAAAATTTAGAAATAAAAATGTGTTGCGTATATTGCGAAAAATTTGCTGTGCCAATACTTTTTGCCGGCAGTGTTTGTTTATTGAAAAAATATTTTTGGATATTCATAAATAAATTTGTCATTTATTGCAATTCAATTTATCTTCACATTGTTTGAATATTGTTATAACGACGCCCATATCAGAACAGTATTCACTCAAATTCAAAAAAAAAGTTTGAAGCCAAAATCATTCATTTGTTTTGTATATGAACAATTTCTGAAATCTTTATTAAATGAGCAATTTTTTATGTACTGTACAGTTATAGCTCAGTACATTTTTTTTCACCCGAGATAGTCAAAGTTGGGGAAGAAAATATCAAAAAGTTAAAAATCCAGAAATAGTCCTAATTTTATGATGGTTCCTTAATATATTTTAACTACATTGCATTTGAGTATGAAGAGGCAACTATCTGGAAGTATTTTACATAAAAAATTTACTAAGTATTGCCCGGTTTGTAGTTGCAGTTAAAGAAAACACATGAAAAGGCACGATTTTTTTGAAATTCGAAAAAATGTAAATATTTGAAAAACGGTGACACTTTTACCTGAAATTTTTTTTGTTTATCAGGGAGCTCACCCCCCTCCCCACCTACCTTCCCATAAGGTTTGGCACGTTACTTCTGGGACACCCTGTATATGTGATCATAAGTAGGCGGTGTTACGTCCATTTTCCAAAATTTTGTCATAAACGTATTTCCTGGTAAAGAATTGTTGCAAACTTTATTTTTGAATAAATCAGCTTTAATATTTACTGATTTATCGAATATTTCGTACTTCTCTAAATTACCCTTATATGGAATGGAGGTGTGGTTATTGTCCGATTTTAAAAATTTTCGGCCATTGGGTATGCTGTAGCAAGGCCAATAACTGTGCCAAGTTTGGGAGAAATCGGTGCAGCGGTTGCCAAGATATACACATGTAACCATAAGTTGGCGTGGCTACGCCCATTTTTCAAAAATTTATAATATTCTTAATTTCAGTCTTAAAGTTATTGTAAATGTCAATTTTGAGTGAATAATCTTCAGTAGTTACTAAAATATCGCAGTTTTCGTATTTCTGAAAATTACCGTTATATGGAAGGTAGGCGTGGTTATTGTCCGATTTTGCCCATTTTCAATACCGTCCGTCCTACGCCCGAAAGAAGTACACGCACCAAGTTTCGTTAAGATATCTTAATTTTTACTCGAGTTATCGTGTGCACAGACGGACGGACGGACGGACATACGGACGGACAGACAATCACCGTTTAATTGATTTCTCTTTTCATCCTGATCATTTATGTATACATTTGTATATATCTGTTACAAACAACCGTTATGTGAACAAAGTTATAATACCCTTGTGCACAAGTGCGCTCGGGTATAAAAACAAACAAAAAATTTGACTTGGAAAATATTTTGATTATTTAAATAAAATCAACACCGGGTCACTTGTTTCAGTCACTGTATGACAAGCTGCTTACAGTTTGCAATCGATAGACTCTACATAGCCGTAGTCCGATTGTTGAAAGACGCATACCTATGTGTAACGCCTCGGCGAGAGAGAAGAAGGTTCGCAGATTAAAGGTTTAAAGAGAGTTGCCACCTGTTTATAAAGCTAAGCCAAATTAAATTAAACGGATTGATCAAACATCGCAATACGAGTGTAAAATGGCAAAGGGTACGCGAGATCTCATCTGAAACAAAAATTGTTTGAAGAGGGTTGCCACTTGTTTGAAAATTAAATTCCATTACATAATTTGATTAGATGAAAGAAACATAACAATATTGGTGTTGTTCGAAGAAATTTAAGTAAGCTTACTTTCCAATATATTTTCAAGGAAGTTGCCACCTGTTTGAATAATTAAATTTTTTAATTAAATCATATATATAAAATAATATTGCTTAAAATTTTGACACCGATAGGCTCTTTGTTGTCGTGGCCCGACTGTGGAAGGAGTTTTATATCTAAGTAAGAACAAGAAAAGAGTTGTCACCTAATAAAAAAATTGAACTCAATTAAGTTAAGTGAATTACACTACTTTACTAAAAAATACACAAGATTTTTTTTTGTTGTAGCCTCGCATGTATTTTATAGCTAGCTAGCACTTCGCCGTCAACCTAAATCTGATTTTTATTATTAAATTGAGAAAGTGAAGAAAAAGCAAAAGTCATCCTAATTCATTCTCTTGCATAGTTTTGTTACCTCCAGCATTTTTAGTATTGAACTCGTTGCCCTTGTTATTTATTAAAATTATGAATGAAAACCTGATCTAAGCTTTCTGGAAACACCTACGTCAGCCAGAAAGCTCGACCAAATTACTTACCAAATAAATCTAAGCCAGTTGAGCTTTGCTATGACCAACTTTCTTCGAGCACCAACATAACAGACAAAACTACCGTAATGTTTTTTATATGTACAGTAGGGTGGTCCAAAAATGCATGCGGATTTTTCTAAAAAGAAAAAAGAATACCCATATTTTTTGCTAACAAAAAAAAAAATTATTTAAACAGCCTCAAAGCCCATACAATTTTCCATGCATTTTATATGGGGAAGCACGTTTTCTTAGAAATAATATAAAATTCTTTGAAATCAATAATTTTCAATCAGAGAACTCGGTTTCTCTTTAAGAGACTTGCAATAATAATACCAAAATGCAAGGGGGACTCATAAAATATCATTAGTATTAAAAAATGGTGAAATAAACCATTTGATCTTATTATTGAAAGTCTCCTACGAAGGAATTTTTTTTCTCCATAAAAAACATGGAAAACTTCATGAGGTGTGGCACATTTAAATATATATACTTTTTTTTTAACAAAAAAATACGGGTACTCTCTTTTCCCTTCACAAAACTCCTAGGGGATGAGAGCTTAACATTTTAAACTTTTTTCTTGACCACTCTCATGAACACACATATCCATTCTACTCGTATATAAAGCTATGGTCAGAGGTTTATGAAGCTCGAAAATTCAAAATGAAATTGTTTCAAACTTTATATTTATTTGTCTATTTTTTTATTAATTTTCATTTAAAATATAATTCTATCTATAACAGAAACCACATAAATAATAATTTCAAAGCTTGCACAAATTTCACAAAATTTTGGTCAAGTTTCAAAAAATTTACATTAAATTGTAAAGTTTTTAATCAAAGTTAGTTATATCAAAGAAAGTTAACGGGTATGCAATTTTGTAGCATATTCAATTTTAGTCTAATAAAGTGCAAGCTTCAACAAAAATAAAATACCCTGGATTTTTGAGATTTTTTTGTCGAGGGTGTTGCGCATTTTTTTTCTAAAAAAAAAAAACGATTTTCTTGATGCGTTATATGGCATAAATGAAATTTTTTTATGCTCATGGAAGGTACAAGGATTTCGGCATGCACTTTATCGGCACCGTGTCCATAATACATGAAATTAACTAAATTGAATTTAAAAAAAGCGTTGTAATTAGTAACACGGCATTTCCGGCTTAAAGTAGTGTTCAGTTATTACGGGTTTCATACAAGCTGCTGTCCGCTTTTGCATTATGTTTCGGTAAAGCCAAAGTAAGCAAAGCAGTTTGCACCTTTTTTCTTAAGCAGAGATTACTCGTCGAAATGAGATGAGAACGAAGCTTGCTGAATGCCTACGAGACCGGATGCAAGCTTGAAGAAAACATGTTCCTGTTCAACTAAAGTGGAATTAATGCATTGTATGTCCTGTTATTCAGTTTATGTTTATTGAAGTAAATATTATTTACTTACTGTTACTTATCTAAAGCATAATATAAAGTAAACGCATACATACATATCTCTTTTAAAAATAACTTACATTTTTATCACTTAACTCATTTAAAGTGCATTCAAGTTTACATACATATGTATAACATCGTATAAATAGAAATGTATGTATGTAGATAAAAGAGCATAACTACATACACTAAGTTAAGTGTTTTCGCTTTTTAACGGATAAGTATGCGGTTATCATCGGATTTGTTATTCTATTCGGCCTTGCTGTGTCTATTAAAAAAGTTTTGTGAGTCATGCGGTCACACGCATTGAACTTGAAATACAAGTATGTATGTATATACTAAATATCACAACTGTACAAACATTGTTGGAAGAAATTAAATGAGTCTTTATATGTATTGTCTCAAAAGTTCCGGGAATGAGTTTACCAATTTAGTCATATAAATGGATGTAGTTTTTATTAAGTTAGCAGCCAATTTTATGTATGAAAATGCTTAAATATGTACAGCGTGGCGATGAATAAAAAAATTAAAAATTTAATGGTCCTTTAAAGATTTTGCGAAAGTATTTCTTGTTATTTTTGAAAATATTTAACTTTAATTTTATTAATTTTAATCCTTATTTGCATTTGTCAGCAATGTAAACTTTTGGATAAAAGTACATGCGGAACGCAAGTATTTTTCAGGATTATTTTTTCTTAGACTCTGTATAAAAAAAAGACAAAAACAAGTAATTTTTAGCCAAAAAAAAAAACAAAATGGACTTCAATTCTCATATAAAATTTTAACAGAACCGTTAATTTCTTCATGATCCAATGATCGAATCTAAACCAAATTAGTATGGAACCACTTCAGCGGTGCCACCTTTCCTTTAGAAAAGAACATTATAAAAACCAGACCCTGCAGAATGATAGCGAGCGAAAAAGTGCTTAAGTGAATTTCTTTAGAACGAAAAAAAACTTAAAAATTTTTGTATTCACGAATAGGCAATCTTTTAAGCTGATAAGGTTAGAAGGACGAAATTCGAGAATGTTATCGAGTTTACTAAGGACGTATTCCTTAACATAAAATTTTTTCGAAAAAAAATATTGCGAAATTTCAAGGAAAAAATTTAAAAGGACATTTTCAATACTTATTTATCCTTCTGCACCAAAAACTTGAATCTGTTGAAATTCTACAGGATTTCCTGCTTAACTTGATACCTATACTTCTTCTCTAAGCACATTTCACTGAATTTTTTAAATATTTTAGAATTACTGACGTCAGAGTGAAAAACTAAAAACGCAATTTGAATATATTTGGCCCATGGTTTCGTGAATATATTGATATTTGTGTTTTAAATGTACTATCGTGCGGTGTTATATATAAAATGAGCTAGAAATTTATAAAAAAGTATTAATTATTGAATAAAAAAAAGAAATACAGCCAATACTGGTCAAGAAAAGGAGTTTCTATTATTGCCATCAGTGCAAATTGCAAACCCCGAAAATCCCGAGATTAGTTGGCAAGAATCTCGGGATTTTAGAGAACGTAGAAACGCTGGATCGCGGAATCCCAGGATTAACATTGCTAGTTCGAATGAACTCGGGCTGCTGGGAATAAAGATCTTGCAGAGTGCTTTCGCAAAGTTATAAGCAATTCAGCTCGGTTTTTAAGAAGTTAGGTCAATGCTGTTATCTCTATGTATATCTCTATCTATAATACAGCTTTTGAGAGCAACAAATGTTGCAAATTTCTGTCAAAGAGAAACATTTTTCCCTATTGTTTAGCTGCGTAATCCTTTCGTAAATTTTTGAGAATTATTAATTTTATTATTCTTTATTTCAAACTAACTCAAACTTGTGTCGCTCAATTTGCAGAATCTATGAACACGGTTATCAACAGAATCGACACATCACCAGCGAAACAGCGCTTATAGAGACTGAATATGGAAAAGTAGAGGGCGTCAAACGATTAACGATATATGATGTACCCTACTACAGTTTCGAGGGCATACCTTATGCGCAACCACCTGTAGGCGAGCTACGTTTTAGAGCGCCTCAACGACCCACACCCTGGGAGGGAGTAAGAGATTGCAAAAATACCAAAGAAATGGCGGTACAAACTCATGCGATTACTGGAACTTTGGAAGGATCCGAAGACTGCCTCTACCTCAATGTATATACGAATAATGTAAGTAGGCACAAAAGGAATGATGAAACCTTAAAAAAATGCCATTTTTTAATTATCAAAAAATTTCATTTAATTAACTTACGCAGATACAACCTGATAAGCCACGACCTGTTATGATTTGGATACATGGCGGTGGTTTTAGCATAGGTGAGGCTACTCGGGATTGGTATGGACCTGATTATCTAATGGAAAAGGATGTTGTGCTTGTAACAATACAATACCGGCTTGGAGTGCTGGGTAAGTAAAGGAACTCTATCCAAATGTTCTTCTTTATCACATTTTCCTTTTCTTCTCCCACCTTCCAGGCTTCCTTTCGCTGAATACTCCCGAATTGAATGTACCTGGCAACGCTGGCCTCAAAGATCAGGTGCTGGCTATTAAGTGGGTGAAAAATAATTGCTCAAGTTTTGGCGGAAATCCGGACTGTATTACTGTGTTTGGTGAAAGTGCTGGTGCCGCTTCTGCCCATTGTATGATGCTCACCGAACAGACGCAGGGTATCTTCCAACGTGTCATTTTAATGTCGGGCAATGCTTTACCATTGTGGGAGACGAAAAATCAGACTGCTCGTGCTTTTACACTCGCCAAATTGGCTGGATATAAGGGTGAAGATAATGAGAAGGAAGTTTTGCAATTTTTGAGAAAATGTAAAGCGAAAGATCTAATAGCGCTGGAGAATCGGATACTTACAGCTGGCGATCGTGCACGTAATATTAATGCGCCATTTCTGTATTGTGTAGAGCCATATCTGACGCCCGAATGTGTGATACCAAAACCTATTAGAGAAATGATGAAAACGGCGTGGGGTAATGCGATACCGCTGCTGGTCGGTCATACGTCCGATGAGGGGCTGATAGCAATGCAAGGTTAGTGGGGAGAGGATTAAAATGAGACTAGATTACGTTGGATTGGAATAGATTAGATTATATACGATTGAATTGAAATTAATTTCGATTAGGCTACAATCAATTCGATTCGATTTGGTCACAATCAATTGGATTGGATTCGATTCAACTAGATTAACTTCAATTAAATTCGATTAGAATAGATTACACTAGATGAGATAGGGTTCGACTGGATTACATCGGAGTAGATTAAATTAAATTTATGAGGTTATAATCAATTCTATTCGATTAGATTAGATGAAATTTGATAAGATAAAACTAAAATCAATTAGATTGGATGTTATTACATTCGACTAGATTAAATTAAATTATATTTGATTCGATTAGATTAGATTTAAGAATGGATTCAAATAAATTTACTTAAATTAGACCAATTAGGACCAATTCGATTCGATAAGATTAGCTTAGAATCAATTCGAATAGATTATATTAGAGTACTAGTAAATAGCTGGCGTGCTTCGCTGCGCCTTAAAGGTATTTTTGTGTTGTTATTCCTACTCAAAACTAGTATGGCTTCATTCCTTAAAATTAAGATAGTTTTGCAAAGCTTTGTGAAGTGAGATTTTCAAACAAAATTTAGATTTATGAAACATACTTTATTTTTTATGAACAAGAGTATTATTTAATGTTTTCGAAGGTATTTTACCCTGGAAGTTTAATTTTTACTCTTATAACTCGATTCTACATATTGTGCACTTTCTTCAGAGTTGTAGATATTAATTCAGTATTTACTTTATTTAAAAAAAATTCAAATAGGCATGAAGCCCTTCTAAAAACTTGGCCATACATTTTCCCAAACCTTTTTAGGTTGATAACCACATCGCTATATTTAATTGATCTTATCAGTTAAATCAAATTGAAATTTTTAAACAGGTGGCAACCTTGCACAAAAATATTTTCGACTGTAAGTCTTCTTAAACCTCTTTGTTTTATCAGCCATATTGCAATACTTACTTTATCTTATAAATTTACTTAAACTGCAATTTCCAAACAGGTGGCAACTCTCTAATTTGTTCGTTGTTGTTGTTGTTGCATCGGTGGAAACTGCATTCGATTCTATGCATTAGTTTTCTAGACAGACAAAAAATCTAAAAATTGTTGATTTGGCTTTTGTTGTCGATTTCTAAAAGTTGTTGATTTCGCATCTGTTGCTCTAATAAATATTAACCAATATTATTTAAGGTAGTAAGGCTACAACCAATGATATTTTTTTTTTAGTTCAGCCTATTTAGTTCTACTCTTCTATTTTCTGGTTATGGATAACAAACATTTTTTAATTGCAGGTGCGAAACAATTAGCCACCTTAGCCCAAAGACAAAAGACTTACTCGTTGGAACCATTTGTGCCCTTTGAAGTTGCCGTAAGTGAGGAAAGGGAAAAATTTGAGCAGAAATTGAAGGCAACGCATGTCAGTGGTAAAATACCAACGATTGAAGAATACAAAAAGGTGAGTGAATTCCAAACGAATTAAAAGCACAAGCGATTACTAACTTAAAAATCATTGAATAACTTAGCGTTTTTTTTTTTTTGCAGATCATAGAATACAGTTACCTTCATTTGCCTCTCTACCGACTTATACGCTCACGCTTCACATACGCTGCCGGAGCACCGCTTTATCTCTATCGTTTTGACTTCGATTCCGAAGAGTTGCCACATCCGTTTCGTATTTTTCGCATGGGGCGTGGCGTAAAGGGTGTGTCGCATGCAGATGAACTTTCTTACCTATTTTCAAATCTTTACTCACATCGAGTGCCCAAAGAGAGTCGCGAATATCGCACAATAGAGCGTATGCTCGGATTTTGGACACAATTCGCGCTTAGTGGGAATCCCAACGACGAGCAAATACCCGGCATGACAACACTGACGTGGGAACCGCTCAAGAAAAGTGAACCGAAAATTCTCTGTTTAAATATAAATGATGACTTAAAGCTAATCGAATGGCCAGAATTAGCAAAGGCTAAGGTATGGGCGAGCGCTTACGATCATCATAAGGAGTTGCTATATTGAGAAGGTGAGAGTGAGAAAAGAGCGCACAATAGCTTGAAAAATGAAATTAGGCTCGTAAATCCGAAATAGTCAATTATGTATAACATATGTATTAGAAAAAACGTGAATTGTTTATTATAAATATTTATTGTTATTTAAATGAATATTTATTTTTCAAAATTGAATCAAACGAATGTACATATATCGTATTTGTATATAAAAATGTAGTTTTCGAATTTTAATATTTAGTAAACGATAATTATAGAAATTAAAGTGAATGAAAGGCTTTAAACATTTGTAAACTATGTACAATATTGCATATATTAAATAGTGATTAAAATACAAAAATAAAAACTTTAAATATACCTCACTGTACAATGCACTATAAAACAAACTCATTCGTGTTTGATTGGATTTTATTTATACACTGCCGGAACAAAGTATTGGCACAGCAAATTTTTTCACAATATATGCAACAATTTTTATTCTAATATTTTTATGGCAATTTTGTATAAAAATATGGCTCATTCTACAACAAAAAACATAAAAATATAATTCCTAAACTTTGTGCAAAACTCGCGAAAATTCAGTAAATTTTTAATCAGATTTTTTAGAATTTTTTTGAGTATGCAGTTTTGCAGCCCATTAAATTCTGTAAAAAAAGGAAATTTGGGATTTTTGATTTGATTTTTGAGATTTTTTTGTTGAAGGTGTTTTGCATTTTTTCCATATAAAGTATTTTCGAAAAAAAAAAAATTTTTTGGAAGAGACTGCGTGAAAAAATACCAATAATCAACGGTAGTTTTAGCTACTTACAATTAGCTCTTTATTACAATAAAAATAATTGGGCTACAAATCTGCATACTGCAAGTCCCGAATCACAGACAGCATTCTGCCTCCGTGTTCAGACCACATTTAAAAAAAAAAACTAGAATTTCGGCCCTAAAAAAAAACAAAATTGTGACGAAATCTAATGTTTCTATGGCATTGATGATGGATGTTGTCTCCTGTCTTGTATCAATGTTTTTTGTGAGTGAGGGGTACTCAAAGTCCTAGCTATGCCACTGTAGGATAGTACATTTCGAGGGCTTTGATTCAATACGATCTATCTGAAATTTTTACAAAAACTAGTTCCTGATTTAACTCTCATAACTGGTGTTAATTTTTATTTACCAATCCAACAGCTACTTCTATTAACAAGCGATATACATATATTAGTTAAAGCTCAGGTAAACTTTTATATCCGAACTCAGTTTTTGTGAAAATAGCAATTTAAGAAGAGAGCATTTCATTAAATTTTCCATGCTGTGTAATCCCCGCAAACATATTCTGAGCGCTCAGAATATATGAGTCGGAAGGGAGTCCTAGGTAGGTAAGAAATATGAGTTTCAAAAACAAACATTTTTTTACTCTTATATGAATCTTTTAGGAGTCATATATGATCCAAGTTATGAGCCAGCACTTTGTGCCAGTATAAAAACAATAACGACTAGAAATTTATATCTAAACTTGTTTATACAGATATCAAGGTACATTGAACAGGTAGTATCAGTAGAGCAGCTGATTTGATTTATTTTCAAATTATTTGGTCTCGAAAATGTCAAATATTTTTAATTTTTTCTCACAAAAATTCTGAATTGTTAAAATCCATTTGCTTGTGAAACCTTTTTCCATACAAAACAAGCGATTGAATAGCAGCTTTTGGAACGTTCGCCCAACTCGGCAACACGACCGCTGATTACTGGGCCTTGCAAACGATGGATCAATGCTTCGAGAAGCAAACAAATTTACTAGGAAAGAAAGTTGCATCAATTTTTATTTTTTCCAATTTCAATTTTTTATTTTTTATAATTTTTTGTATTTCACATGGCACGCTTTGATTTAGAAGAAAAAATTCAGAACAGTTGTTGACACTTTCGATACCAGAAGCAACAACAAAATACACGCAAATGTTGTTTTTGCTCTACTGATACTACCTGTTTAATGTGCCTTGACAGATATGAAAAATAATTAGGAAGGAAAAATAAACAAAATTTAGCGGCAGCAAATGCTATTACATGAATGCTGCAATATTTGTACATATATATGTATGCGCAGAGGTTTGTATATAAATATGCAACAGTATTTGAAATGGATTCCTTACTAACATGGCTCTAAAGTAAGTTCATTAAGAGAGTTGAAGAATAACGCCAATAAGAGTCACAGAACAGCATACAATGAGGCTCCGAAAGTAGGCATTTATGAGTCCAATAAGAGTCATTTAAGAGCTTCAAAAAGAGTCCAAAATGAGCCGTATATGAGGCCAATAAGAGTCCAATATGACTCATATTGAGGCTCATTTGATGTATGAATTTAAGCTCATATAGGTCGACCTTCGCAGGAAGGGAAACACCCTCATTTCGGACTCTTAAATGAGCTCATTATGAGCACAAAGGCTCCGATATGGGACTCCTTAAAGACTCATTTATGACTCCAAATGTTTGCTGGGAATATACAAAAAAAAAAAAACATACATACAAACATATATATGTATGTATGTATTTATTTACACTAGGAATCAATCTAATATAATTAAAGTTAGATCTCAACTAATTGCTGCTAACATGTAAACATTTCGCCATTAATTATTAATTTTTGTGAAAGTCATCTAATTATTTCTGAATAGGCAACTCGTCCCAGCTTCACTATTTTTATGTTTTTTTTATTTTTTTTCAATAATAAGCGATGTTAACTGATTACTTGTCATTTTATATCTATCAAGCTACTGCGGTTGTTACATCCCAGCAAACATTTGGAGTCATAAATGAGTCTTTAAGGAGTCCTATTTCGGAGCAAATACGCTCATAATGAGCTCATTTAAGAGTCCGATATGAGTGTGTTTCCCTTCCTACGAATGTCGACTTATATGAGCTTAAATTCATACATCAAATGAGCCTCAATATGAGTCATATTGGACTCGTATTGGCCTCATATACGGCTCATTTTGGACTCTTTTAAAACAAGTTTTGGCCTCATATATGACTCTTTTTGAGACCCTTATCGGCCTCATAAATTGCTACATTCGGACTCCTATTTTAGGTTGCTCTTTGAGTCCTATTCAACTCACTATATTTGCAAAGGCATTCCGCAAAAAGTCCTTGCAAATAACATACATACATATTTACATGCATATACACATTCCAACATGCATTCAATAGCAGCAGCTGAAGCTAAATTTTGTTCATTTTTTGTTTTCTAATTATTTTCAATTTCTGTATAAACAAGTTTAGATATAAATTTCAAATCTTTATTGTTTTTATATTGGCACAAGGTGCTGGCTCATAACTTGGCTCATATATGAATCCTAAAAGATTCATATAAGAGTAAAAAATTTTTTGTTTTTGAAACTCATATTTCTTACCTACCTAGGACACCTTTCGGACTCATATATTCTGAACGCTCAGAATATGTTTGCGGGGATGTACATACTACATGCATTGTATGTGGTATGTATGTACATATGTATGCAAGCATGTATGTAATCAAATGTTAAGTATACGTATTGGGGGCTGTTATGTAAAGACTACTTAGTATATTAAATGATGAAGCTAACGTGATTGAATTAAATGTGTGGTTGATACAGAAACTACGCCCATTTTAAAAGTTAGTTGTTCCATCTCTCGTTACATGTTTGTATTGTGCATGAAGGTTAATGAATATTCATTATGAATCTCGCTTTACAGGGCAATTCTTTAATTGTCAACTCTGGCAACTATCTTGAAGTCGCTTTCGAAAGATCTGCCAACAAGAAAGTGTTTTCGTTATTCTGTCTATATGTATTTAAGAAATGTTTTCAAAAACTTAAATTAAATTAAAAAATGTGTATATACATAGGTATATTTTTCTTTTTTAAAAAAATATATTAAAAATAAAAGATGATATTAAAAAATTTTATTTTCAAGGCAATGAAATCTTAATACCAAAGGCAAATTAAATCAGAAAAGAAAAACAAAATAAAAAATAAGTTGCTAAAATTAAATTAAATAAAAAATTTCTTGTAAAAAATTATACAAAAGTTAAATTTGAAAAAGAAAAAATTAAATAAGTGCCTTAAAATATATGAAATTAAAACAAATATATATTTCTTTAAAACAACGAAATACACAAAATCAAACATTTTTTTTTTTTAATAAAGAAAAAAATGCTATTGGGTTTGGAGCTTTTTGGCCGGTTATATTAAATAAAACAAGTGTTTACTTCTTCTCCTACGCGTTTCGATGCATATTCGCGTCTTCTTCAGGGAGTCTACATATTTATAAATACAAAAAACATAATGATAACGGATAATTATTAAAAGGAGCAAATGAGACAATACAAAATAATTTTACACTAATTACACTTTATTATTTAGCAATAAAATTATCACAACATAAATTAAACATATTTAAAAACATTAAGACACGTTAAACAACACTGCACATCCTTCATCGTCAAACCTCAGACATTGTGTGTAATTGCAGTCGCGTATGCACAGTTTATATTATCTACGTCTTCTTTGAAGTTCATTGCTTCAGTTATTTTGTGTTGTATGCGCAACCCTACTAATGTCATCCTTCTTCTCGCTCTGTTCTCCACGTCCAAAACCTTTGCATTGTCAAAATCAGCTGTATGTTTGTTTTCCGTCAGGTGTTGCGCTAATGCTGTGGTACTCTTGTTGTTTTTGGCGTCTAGCTTATGTTTGTTGATTCTCGTTCCAAGCGATCTCTTCGTTGTGCCAATGTAAACCTTGCTGCAGTTTTCTCCTTCTTTTCCTTGACATTTTATTTCTCAAACTACATTGTGTAGTTGTTCCTTACCAATTTTGTCTTTCGTTTTGGTATAAATGGCTTGAATAGTGTGATGCGATAAATCTAAAACCAAACGTGTGAAAACACAGAAAATATTAGGATACCTATTGCTATCTGAAAATTAGCTATTAGAAATAATATTATTCAAGAGGAAAATAGGCTATGGTTAGACGAGGACACTTGTAAAACAACTAGGCTACTAGAGCCTGATCGGTAGGCGAGTTTCGAGACTAGAAATATACTACCATGAATATTGAAGAAGTTGCGGAGTTGAGGAAGGAAAAGAAACAGTTGAGCGCTTCTTCTGTAGCTGCCCAGCTTTATCTAACAGCAGAGCGGGCTTTTGAGGTAGGCGCTTTTTAGCTCTACCACGAAACTATGGTATAGGAAAAAAAAACATTCTTACAATTGATCTGCAAGGTCTAAGTGAGTTGGCCATTAGACTGACTGCCGCATCAACCTTACCTAACCTATGTACCCATTCATCCTCAGGGTTGGAGAACAACTGGAAGAAATTATCTTGCCGAGGCTTAACTTCACCGGAGATCTGCTCCTTCTGACCAATACAGGTTGCACCTGTCCCTCGTGCAAGTAGAAGAGTACATTATGGGCCTGCGTGAAGTTCTAACTACGCGTGTGACCAAAATACCAAGGAACCTGGCAAATTTCCTTAACGTTACGTGGATCAAATAGGTCGCCCTTGGGAGCTATCATTAAGTGACCGCTCCATTCTCTTAATATTAATCAAACCTAAATTATTTAAAGGATGGTAGATTGTGTAAGCAGCGTTTAATTCAAAGCCATTACCCGGTAAGTTCAAAAAACTGAATCCCCTATGTATATATGTAGGTACCCGCGTGCTCAATTTATTTCTTTTAAAAGCAGCATATCAAAGTTTATTACTAAATTGTGCGTTAATTTTTAATACTTTTTATAGCCTAGTTTTTCTAAGTGTACAAAATATATACTACCCTTATTAAACTGCCGGTAAGTGACGACTAGTCGTATCGATTGATAGAATAGCGTGTTTAACACACACACAGCTAAGCGCACAACTTGTCAAAAAAGAAAAGTTTTGTAGCTAACTGTGATTGTAAACATATGTTGCCAGCAGTGTACACTGGAAGAAAATTTGTTTTATTTTTTGCTTACCATAAAAAGTCAAAAAACATTTTAATTGTTGTTCCAAATCCGACGACTCAAGACACGCGTTGCGTAAGTAAAAATTAATAAATAATTTAAAAAAAAATTATAAATAAATTAATAAACATATTGTTAAAATGTAGTAAACAAGTAAAGCATTTAAGATCAGTCGCACATTGTGCGTATATGTAGCAAAAGTAAATATTCACACTTATCATAGAGTATAATTAGAAAGAAAAGCTTTCTTATGTACAGCCACCTGTGATGAAGTATGAAAAGAATTTCTTGAAATGGGCTGATTGATTGATGGCCAACTGCTAAGGGGCGACGAGACTACAGGGAATCTAGCCGGCACGGCGCTAGCGCTCTCTGCTACACTTAGCAAAAGGAGGGCCACATATGTAATTTTAACTTGCGATATTTTATATTCATTAGGGTGGTCCAAAAAGAGTAAAGTCGGAATTGTAATGCTCTCAACCCCTAGGATTGTTCTATATCGAAAAAAGTATAGCACTATTTTTTTCATTTTGAAAATAAATATTTTTAGGTCGCTCAAAGCGCTCAAAGTTTTCCATGTATTTTATATAGGAATAAAACAACTTCGTAAAAATGGTATATAATTCTTGAAAGTCAATATTTTTCGATCGGTAATCGCAGGTCCTCTTCAGGAGACTTTCAACAGTAATACCCAAAATAAGGAAAACATGAATATATATATATATATATATATTTTGGTATAGAATAATCCTAGGGGTGGTGCATAAAAATTCAGATCTTACTTTTTCACATGCAATTTTGGACCACTCTAATACTCATACATATGTACATATGTATATGCATAGATACGTGTACATATGGTGGTAGGCTTACTAGGATGACTCGCGAAAAAAGTTAGGTAATGCTCCCCTCACAAAATATAAAAATTAGTTTTTTATACGTGTATGAATTTTATTTTTGTTCAATTCTAAATTTATGAGCTGAACTATAATGAAAGGGTTTTGAGGATTTTGCGGAGTTTAAAGTTGAGTTCAATGATTAAAGTTTTTGTATCTTCTGATTGTCTCAATTTGTAGGTGGGTTCTTAAAATACCAAAATCATGGAGCTCCGTTCCTTTTTTCTACCTACAAAATAAAGAAATCCACGAAGTTTTAAAATTTTAAACGACCCCTCTACCAGGTCTTGAAAAAAATTATTATTTTTTGTATGTCAAAATTCAACAAAATATTTACTTTGACCAACAAGGTTATGCTTTCATAGAAACAAGTTTCTAAAAGTACTTCATGCAAATTTTAATAAGAGTGACGAATACATTTGAATAGATTTCATTATTTTTGATTTTGGAAATGTAATTATAGCTGAAATTGCGATTTTTACCGAAGAAACAAAACTGAGTATGTGCGCTAGCTTCCAGAGTACATCCCGGAAAGTGTACATTCAACAATACCTCTAGAATTTCCTAGCGAAATGACGATCAGTTGCTGTTCGTCTACTGAATGTAAACCAGAGACGCCACATTTTTTGACAGCACTTTTTGAAGTGATTTTCCTTCGACGGCTTAGGTTCCATCAGTAAGAGAAATGTCCTTAAATTATCTTTCTTCCTTAAATTTAAGCACAAACTAAGTCTACTAAATAGAGAAAAGATGTGCGGCCAGATATTCGTTGATTGGCTCTACACTTTTATTTGTTTTATCGCTGAACTTTGGGTGTAGATCTCACCCAGCGAGTTGTCTCAGACCAGACTCTTCAAACACCTCGACAATATACTCGTCCGTGCCCTCCGTTTCGAAAGCGAAAGTAGGTTCTCGTAAACCATCGAAACTCATCTTCATCAGTCTCGCTTTGCGCATTGCTTTCCTTGTCTGTTGCTGGGTCTTATTCAGCCAAGGGAAGTAAATCATCTCAGTCCATGCACTTGAAACGTCTCGACGATAACCTCGTTCACGTCCTCCAGTTCTGACAGCAGAAACAGGTTCTCGAAGTCTTCGTCAGTCTTGGATATCGATTGAACTTCGATATTTGAGGTAGGACAGCTTGATTTGTTTTCTGCTGCCATAGAAATAGGGTCATCTTTGGATGACTCTTTAGATCACTCGTGGTGTCTCCTTGATCTTATCTGTGCTCATTTGTTTTGGAGTTCGAGAGTAGGTATTTGAGTTGAAGCTGTACCTAACAATTTCGTTGCTTCCAGCAAGGATTGGGGGAGGCTACGCGTTCATCACCAATATGGCATAACGTTGGAGCTCACTTGCCTCGCTGCCCTCATTATTTTTCAGTTAAATAATGATGCGGTTTCGTTGAAGGTCTGGATTGGTTCCAAAATCGTTTGCAGTCTTATGGGGCTCAAGGCTTAGCTCGTGAGTTGCAGGGGGGCTGTTATCCCTATGCATTGCCAATAAGCCAGCGTCGGCCACGTTTTAATACCGATCTAATTTACGGGAATTATGCTGATGATATCCCTTAACCACACACACCGTTAGACTTTACATTAGACTAGAGAAATCTGCAAGAGCTCTTTTTACTTGTAGATCCAAAGCAGTGAAGAGTTGGAGTTGTTCCACAAAAATGCTTTGATGGATTCATAAGGAAATAATAGGGCCTAGGATATATGAGTCCAGAATGCCATACTGGGAATATCAATTTATTTCAGGAACGTCCTAGAAATGAATAAAAATGTCTCCGAGGAGGTTTTAAATTAGAATACATTTTATTATTCGCTGAATGATAAGAGAACCGAATGTTTTCCAATGCCACATGAGGCAGCCTAATGTTCGTTTGAGTTGTGGTAATAATCGATGCGCGCTAAAGCAGCAAACGCAACGACAACGACAAGCCGACGCGTCAGCGTCAGCGCCAACAGCGCTAAGCGGCAACGCTACAATCACGTTTGCCTTTCATTTGCACAATCACAGTTGGGGAGGTGAAGGGGCACATATTAGTGGCTTTCCTACGTAGCAGCGATGTTGTCGTGCCCACTGTCATTATTCTTTTATAGCCGGCTTTGTTGATGGTGGCTGCAGTCAAAGCAGCAGCAGCAGCAGCAGCAGCAACGGCGTCAGAATAAAATCAAGTAGTTGTGAAGAGAGTATTTGTATTGGCATTGGTCACGCTGTAGATGTGGTTTGTCAGTCAGTCAGACGGTGGGTCGGTTGGTTGGTTGTTTGTGAATTCATATCAACATATTTCCATACATATGCATTCATTTTGGCGCTTACTGCTCAACGACCATGTACATATGTACTTACTAAGTAGTAGACGACTGAGGCGCTAGCTTATGCCGCCTTGTTTGCGCTGTACAATTCTCAGTTGGCGAACAACCCTTGTGCATAACGGATAGGCAACACGGCAGACGACATGCGACCGGCATAAACGAAGCAAGCGAAAAAAAGTGAATTAAGTAAAAAATTTAAAGAATTGTGGTGTAGAAAAATTCAATAAATAATAAATAAGCCTCCAGGACGATTGTGGCGCGCGTGCAAAATAAAATTATCCCTCCAAAAAGAGAGAAAAAAAAACAAGCAATAAGCGGCAACAAGTGCTGTAAAATTGCGCGTTGAAACGTATACCGACACATACACACACTTGCGCATGCATAATTCACTTGCAGACATACATACACGCATACAGACATAAGTACTAAGTTAGATCCTGCGATCGATTTTTAAAGGACACACGCAGCAGCAGCAGCAGCACCGAAGCGCGATAAATTGGAATTTGTTGAAGTGTAAAAAATTAAGTTAAATTTAAGTGTGCTCGCAATAAAGTGCTGATGTAGGGGAAACTCACTTTGGTGGCAATTTTCTGCATTATATAAGCGATTATTACAAGAAGAAGATCGAAGAACCGCGAAATCGTTTTGGTTAAAATTGCTGCGCTCGATAATTCTACTTAAAAAATAATTTTCATTTGCGTACTGCGAATTGATTGAAATCTAAATAAATAAAAATCTGATCTGAGTTTTTGCTTGTAACAGCAAGGCTATTAACCTAAAGACGCGAAGTTAGCACTAATCATCAAATAAACATGTCATTCGATATTCCTTTTGGCGATCAAATGCGCATTGCGCTGAGGTAAGTTAAAAAAAAAAATACTCTATGTTATAGCATAGACAGACGGTAACGTTAATCCGGATTAAGGGCGCAGCTGCTCTGATAAAAATTTTAACTTGACAGACTGCAGTATTGCGATTTAAGTGAGCCGTAAGGTCGTAGGTTCGAATCTCACGGCAAGAATTTTTTTTTACAATTTTAATAATTTTTTTATATAATCATAGTTGTGTCCTTTTTAATAAAAGTAAACTCTAAAAATTTAAATTAACTTGAAATAACTATGAGAAATAACATAAAACTATAAGGAAAGTAAATATAATAAAATATACCTATATATTAAAAACTAAAAATAAAATCAAATAAAAAATTTAATTTAAAGAATTGCTCAGAGTGGGAATCGGGCCTGGGTGCTAGTGAATTGTACTACAAAGTTCTGACCACTTGGCCTCCACGGACGCCAAACTCGCTTGCTTTGTTTGCTAACTTCTTTTCTCAGGGAACGTAGAATACTGAAAACTTGTAAAACTAGCCTACAACGAGAAAAGGGTGTGCCTGGATATTGAAGGGACCTTAAATAATGTCCAAACGGAGGCGATAAGTAAGGCACTCTCTGTGCGCGGCATTCAGCGTCCTATGATGGCATGGATTGACTCCATGCTCGAGAGCAGAATAATCAACGGCACCAAAGGTAAGGGATCCGTGAGCAGGAAAACCACCAGGGGCAAGGAGGTATACTATCCTCTCTCCTCTGGCGCCTGGTGGTGAACGAAATTCTTGAAATTTTTAAAAGCAATAGAATAAGGGTGGTCGCTTACGCCGACGATTTAGTTATACTCATCACTGGCAAATTCCTATCAACGATAAGTGAACTAATGGAGAGTGCACTAGGTGATATCTCTAAGTGGGCCAACGAGGACAGAACTGGTATTGTTTACAAGGAAAATAAAAGTACCCACTTTTTCTCTGCCGAAATAAGGGGAATATACGTTGAAAGGCAAACTACCTTGGAATTATTGGAATTTAGTGGACAGAGCCAAAAACTCTAGCAGCATATTACACTTGCAAAAGGACCTTTGGGGACTATCACCGTACGTCACATATCGGATGTTCACTACAGTGATTAGACCAATTGCAACCGCTGGGTTCTTGGTATAGTGGAGAGCTCTAGACAAAGGGAATAACAAGAAAATAATAGGAAAGGTGCAAAGACTCGTATGCCTTGGCATATCCGGAGCAGTGAGTAGCGCACCTCAGGAAGGCCTTAACATTATATTTTATCTGCGACCGCTGGATATTTTCATCCATGGTACGGCCGCAAAGAGCGATCTGAGGCTCAGAGAAGCCAAAAAGTCAGCACTGATTACACTACGTCTGTTTGGCACTTCAATACCAAGAATACCCAGTAGGTTCCCGACTAGAGAATAATGGGATGCAAGACTACCAGTAGCAGAGGGAGGTATATCCATCTAAACTGACGGTTCAAAGATGGAACAAGGAACCGGAGTCGCTGTCTACTCGAAGAGCCTACAGATCAACCGGTCTTCGCCTACCGAACGACTGCAGTGTCTTCTAAGCGGATATCTACGCTATAGAGAGGGCGGCTGGTCTTTTACTTAGTAGTACAGCTCCAGAAGACAAAGCCACTATTTTTATCGACAGTCAGACAGAACTGAAGGCAATAGGATCTATGTAGAATAGGAAATCGGGAATTGTGGATGTCGCACCACGATGGCGTCACTGAGCCGCATCAACGTGTCTCTATGCTGGGTTCCGGGACATAGCAATATTGAAGGGAATCAGAGATGCCAATAGTAGAAGCAGATATTTACACGTACTATCACCGTTTAGTGATCACGTTAGGAAAATTAATGAGTGGCTGTGACTAATGATCTGTGGAACAAACGGGAAGACTGCGAGACGACAAGATTATTATGGCCGCGGCTGAGTTAGTAAACATATTGAAACTCAATCGATCTGCAGTAAGAGTCCTTACCGGCGTCATCAGAGGACACTATGCTATAGCACCAATGCTCCAACGGTGGTGACTACCAACGAGTACTCTCTGCAGAGGCTGCCATGTTGAGGATGTAGGAAGAGTCAACTGACCTTTATCTGTGTCGATGTCCAGGTCTACAGACGAAGCGACTTAAGTACTTGGATTCACGTTTTTTAACAGTTTGGTCGAAGTAGCAGAGGGTAACTCTTGGATCTCCTCGGCTTCATCAGGGCTAGTAATTCAGTAAAATAATGACTTAAAGGTACTCTTTCGATATAGGCACGTGTCTCCTGCTGGTACTCACTAAACGAGGACACTTGCAATGGACAATTCTGTCTCCGAGTGAGAGTATGGACTATTCCACATACATCCTCCTAACCTAACCTAAGTTATTTAATTTTGATTGGATTCCTATCTCAATTAGTGTTGTGAATACACAACCGATGACGAGGTAGATTTCCACCCAAGCTTTACATGTTCTATGCACTTTTCGCTCTGTGAAATTTTGTTAAGTGCTGTTATCGAAAATTCCCCTCTATCTGCATAAGGTTTAGATTTAACTCTGGGACTCTCTTCGGATCAACTGCACTTAATTCCTGAGAGCATTCTCAATTAACGAGTTGATCCGCATTAATGCTGCCGTCTGCCTTTGCTTTTTAGCATTCAAATACCTATAAGTAGCGCAAGCGCGAAGAAATTATAAAAAGGTTGATAAGAATACTGTTAGTGATGCCGATATTGATAACTGAATATGTATTTTTAAATATACTGATAATACATACATACATACATATGTAGATACGTATCTCTAAAATATGTACAAGTATTATCACTGTTTAACTTCTTATAAGTTCGACAAATATATCAGTAAAATATTTTGGTGTTAAAGACTTAGAATAAAGGAAGCTAAAAATATTTCTCCCAACACATGATTTGGTAACTATAACTAAATATTTAATGTACCTAACTACAATCAAATCATGTGTTGAGATAATTTTTTTCTGTGTGTAATGAGAAATGTCAGCAACGATTCCGATGAAACAATTAGATAATGAGCAATATCTAATATTTAATCTAATATCTAAATTTAATAATCCATTTCGAGGCTAGAAAGTTCACTTTGTGTAGTGTCAACTACACTGAGAAAAAGGATTAGTTTCGACAACTAAAGATATTTAGCTCCCGAATTTTGACAATATTTGGGAACTGTTACCAAGGATTGGGAACTATTACCATCGATTGGTAATTATAACTAAATATATTAAAGCTTCTAATATTCATCTAGGTTGTAACAAATCGTTAATTTAGTTGAAGGGTTTGGTTAATACTAATAAATATTTATTTGAAGCATATTTCTACAAATTCCATTCAACTTAACGTATGGTTCATAAAAGGATGTTATTAAGCTCTGCTAATGCAGATAAGCTTTCTTCCAACACGTGGTTTAGTCATAGTTACCAAATCTTAGTTGAGGCAACCACGATTTGGTTTGAGAGTGGAACATATTCATGCTTGTGAGCCACCCCTAAAGAATGCTGAGCGCTCTCTGAGCACATACGAAGAGCGCCAGCTGAGCAATGCACACAGTCCCACTTATTGAATCGTTTGAATGCGCTAGTATGCCGACCATTGCATTATGCGTGGAAATCATTGCTCCGCTACCGCTGTTCGTATATGGGTGAAACACGCCACACATGGGACCACATCCCAGAGCGCTCAGTAAGCTATGGCATGTCGATCGCTGCGCCATGTGTGCTATGACATGCCCATACTTGTTTGTCTCAGTTTCAGTTTTGCTATCATCGCGAGTTGTTTCGGTGCGCGCATAGTTTAAAGTTTAATTAAAAATATAAAGTTTGATTCCAACCGGGGTTTTTCAGTTTATATATAATTCATGTGAATTATAATTTGAAAGTGTCAATTTAGCTAAGGAAAAAGCAAAGCAGTATACTTCCAGCAGATATTGACCTGGGTTTTCGCACGACTGTTCCTGTTTCATCGTTGTTTTTTTAGGAAATTCTTACCAACATATACATATGTATTATTTACTTTAGTAACTGACTTATGTAAATATGTACGGATTTTTATGCTTAATATATGCAAATAAAGGAAGAAAGTAAACACAACAAACATCGAGTAAATTTTTATTTGTGTCAAACTGAAACTTTTTTCCTAATAATAAACGGTTAGCTGATTCAAGTCTACAGCAAGCTCACAAAATTAATTGAAAACTTGTATCAACCAAAGCATTGTTTATATTTGCTCAACAATGATTTTATTCAACTAACAATATTGTCCAATCAAGGTAGTCGTTTTGTAATTATTAACAAATATACATTTGTCCCAACTAGAAGTCTTAAGTAAATTGCAGACTTTCGTGAACTATATATTTATTTCGCCATATCCAACTATGCCACTTGATCACTATAACCAAATCTTGGTTATTATAACTAAACCTTTTTCTGGGTGTACTTTGCTAACGCTAAAGGGCATTTGCCCAAAATTTGGTGCAAATCGTATCCAAATCGTGTGAATTCACAAATATTTACATTTATGCCAATCACGACAAAATTTTTTTTTACAAATCTCTCAATAGAACTTCGCTGTATTGTACGAATTAAAAAAATAAATTCATTATTCATGTTTCCATATTTTCGATAGAAAGTGCTCCTTCCTGATTGTTTTTGGGCCCATGATTTTTAAGTCCGGGGCCAGAGTATTCTCTCGACGTGCCTGGTCCAGTGTGTCCACCCCCCCCAATATCATGGCATGTAAGCCAATTAGGCAGCGGCCCTTAAGAGCCCTCAAAAGGAAGAACATTGCTTTTGTAATGAAATTTCCTAGCAGCGATGTGCGTTAGCCTTCCAAGCAAGGCTGTATATTTCCTCGCTACCTCGTCAGAGTTGCAATAATCCTCGATAGCTTTGTTTCCGGTCACCCAAATTAGTTAATTTTGACATTGAGCTGCTTCGCTTCAAAGTCTACGAGATTCAGTGAGCGACTTTTGTTTATGATTAAATCTAAG